CAATGTAGCTCAATCAAGTGATCATCAATGGATAAGAAACTTAGTGGACGTCCACTTAAGTTGACAGAAGTTTTGCTCTATATATATATATATGACTATATATATATATACGAAGAAACCAATATAAATGTGTGTGTATAGATAATTGAGCTTAGAGTATATAACACACATAATATAAATCCTAAACTAAATTACCCAAGCTAGATCTTGATCTTCAATAAGCTCTTCTAGGTAATCTCGCGGATGAAGCTTTAACTTGGATCTTGAACTTTGAATAGCAAGGCTTCACCGACATTCCGCCAACCTCCTTTGGATATGATCGTTGAAGCTCTATTCCATCCATCATCCAACTGCGTTGTTTGTCTACAATAAATACGAAAACACAAATACTAGACAAACAACATTAGTAGTAAATTTTGTATAGGCTTCAATCCGACATTCCGCCAACCTCCTTTGGATATGATCGTTGAAGCTCTATTCCATCCATCATCCAACTGCGTTGTTTGTCTACAATAAATACGAAAACACAAATACTAGACAAACAACATTAGTAGTAAATTGTTTGTAAATCATCATCAAAACAAGAAGGCCAACAAAATGGACCCATAATTTAATATGAAAAGCCGAGGCTTAATCATAGTTAACATGAAAATCTCTTAACTTCGAACGCGAGGTTCGTTTGTACTGAGTACAAGACTCACCTAAGAACGAACGCGTGGTTCGTTTGAAAAATGAACGTGATGTTCAACTTGAGAACGAACGCGATGTTCGAATTGAGAATGAACGTGATATTCAACTTGAGAACGAACGTGAGGTTCATTTGGATTGAGCACAGGGCTCGCCTGAGGATGAACGCGGAGTTCGACTTGAGAACGAACATGAGGTTCGACTTGAATTGAGCGCGAGGCTCACCTGAGAACGAACGCGAAGTTCGTTTGAATTGAGCGCGAGGCTCACCTTAGAACGAACGTGAAGTTCGTTTGAATTGAGCGTGAGGCTCACCTTAGAACGAACACGAAGCTCATTTGAAGCTTTCAAGCCTCGCCAAAAATTAAGGTAACCACCTCCTTAATTCCCGCACGTTTTCACGTACGAACCCTTAGGGTTTTATTCTAAAACCGCCGCCGCCATTGCTCCTGCACCCAAGGTCAAAACCCTAGGATTTCCTGACACCGCCATTACCGTCGGAGTCAAAAGCGAGGCCGCTAGTGATACTTCGCCGGCGAGGAGCACGGGACCGACGATCAAACAAAATAGATCCAAAAATTCCTCGATTTTAAAACCAAAAAATCAAAGAAAAAAATCAAAATAATTTTAAAACTTTAATGTTCATCCGTACTTTATTATTCATCCGTGAACAGTTCTGAGAAAAAACTATAGATTTAAAATCAAAAAACCCAATTTTAAAACTTAAACCCCTAATTTTAATCTTAATCTCTTAGAACAAATCACGATGGCTCTGATACCACTTGTTGGATCTAATATTTGAGATCTAAACCATAAAGCCATGATTAATTCAAAGAGATTAACAAGAATTAAAAGGCGCGGAAGCATATACCTGAATCCATTGAGGAAAACCTGATTAGGGTTTTGATGATCTTCTAACCTTAGGGTTTTCTCCCTGATGGATCTCTTTAGATAGGGATAAGAGAATGAGAGTGGCTAACCCTAGATTAGGGACCATAATCCCATATATATAGGTGTTGTACATTTATAATTTGGCCCCTCATCAAATTACAATTACAACCTGGTATCTGCACATATAACCCCATGATTTATTTAAATACCCATTAACCCAAACTGATTGATCACTTTAAGTGGATTATCCTTAAAGATAGCAATACACATTGATTAATCATATGTGCCCATAATTAGATTTAATTAGATTTAAATCCAATAATCTAATCATAGCTTTTCAAATATAATAAACACGTGTGAACCCTCTTGTATCATATGAACTATATTTTTTTCAATCTTATCTAATTTTCTCATATTTATCTTATATACACATGTATATTAATATCCATATCCAATTCCTTATCTTGACATAGTTAACTTATCTAAACATATGTATATGTATTATTTTTATATAGACATATTCGTACTCGTGTCCGTGATTCGTAATCCGTTAAAAATATAGGGGAAATTGTTTCTGGCCCTCAATTTCCTTACAAGTATTTTGCCCACCCCCAAGACTTTTTCAACACTCCTAAAACCCCCAAAAGCAAAGCCACAATTCTCTAAGCCCTTAAAATATAAAACCTAAGAGTTTAAAATATGTGAAGACCATAATACCCTTTCTCTCTCTTCTTTTTCATGATGTCACTGTGATGATTTAAAATGGGTTTTGGGATAAAAAATTCTAGTTCGCTCCAAATTTTTCTAAAAAGAAAACTGCGATGGATTCAGCGTCACCGTTCCAAAGAAAAAAGGCGGGAAGTCCGGCGACTCCCGGTGTAATTTTTTCCTTTTTTAACTAGTACTTGAATCTGAGTGCTATATTTTTTTGTTATTTTACATATTATTTTATTTTTTTAAATCGATGACTCGAGATTAAAGTAGAGTCTGTAAATTTATATATTGTTGTTATTTCACTGTAATGAATTTGTTGTTAAGGTTATGAGATGGTTGTGAAAGAAGGTTACGTGTTAATTTTGAAGGTTACGAGTTAGTTGTGAAGGTTACGAGTTGGTTGTGAAGGTTACGCATTGGTTGTGAAAGTTATGAGTTTGTTGTGTATGTTACAAGTTGTTTGTGAAAATTACGAGTTGGTTGTGAAGCTAAGGAGTTGGTTGTGAAGGTTACGAGTTGGTTGTGAACCTAAGGAGTTGGTTGTGAAGGTTAGTTAACAACAATCACAATCAACTTATTGTCGAGGTTCGCAACTCACTCACAACATTCACAACCAACTCATAACATTCACAATCAACTCCTTATCGAGGTTCACAACCAACGCATAACCTTCACAACCAACTCGTAATCTTGACAACCAACTCGTAACCTTCACAACCAAATCCTAACATTGACAAATAACTCGTAAACTTAACAACCAACTCTTAACCTTCAAAACCAACACATAACATTCCTTCACAATCAACTCATAAACTTAAAAACAAACTCATTACAGTGAAATAATAACAAGATATAAATTTGCAGGCTCTACTTTAATCTCAAGTCATCGATTTTTAAAAAATTACAACAATATAAAAAATAACAAAAAAATATAGCACTCAGATTCAAGTACAAGTTAAAAAAGGAAAAAAATTACACAGTGAGTCGCCGGAGTTCCCGTCTTTTTCTTTGAAATGACGATGCTAAATCTATCACAACTCATCATCACCGTCTTCAAGATCGTAATTTTCTTCGCCTCATGAGCGAACGCCGGGAAAGTTTCATCACGATGTCAACACCGCTGGAAAAATTTGGAGGGGACTAGAATTTTTTTCCCCCAAAACCCATTTCAAATTATCGCAGTGATATCATGAGAGAGAGAGAGAGAGAGATAGATGATATTATGGTCTTTACATGTTTTAAATTCTTGTGTTTTGTGTTTTGTGGTCTCAGAAAATTGTGGCTTTGCTTTTGGAGGTTTAGGGAGTGTTGAAAACATCTTGGAGGTGGTTGGAATACTTATAAGAAAGTTAGGGGCCACAAACAATTTTTCCAAAAATATATTAAGCATCGTATCCAAACACGGCTGTATAGCCCTTGTTGCTAGTTGGGAGAGGAAATAAAGGAATCGCGTGAAAGAAAGGGACGTAATAATAACTAGACATGAGCCGATGTCAACCTCTTCCGTCCCATCACTAGCTCTGTCCTCATAGCCATAAATAAACTACTACTCTCCCCATGTTTGACGTATGACTTCACTGTAACCATCCAAAGACTCGATACGAAGTCCCCTTGCGAACTTAAACTCTTAATTTGTCTCCAAGTAATTTCCCTTCCCCCGTCCACCTCACCTTCCTTCCCTCCATGACGATAATTCCGGCAAACACTCTTCTCCCCATTTTTTTTTCTTTAAAAAAAAAAAAAAAAACAATGTCCTCCGCCGAAACAAGGTATATATCCCTATTCTTTATTTATTTCTCTCCCACATCTCCATATAAAAGCTTTCAAACCCCTTGGCTTCAGAACTCATCAAGAGTAACAAATTAGCTAGCAATGGCAACCAAGAAGTCTGCGATGGCCGCCCGTGCTCGTGCGGCGCTGCGCTTGGCTCTGCTTTGGGCTCGCAGGGGCGGCTCGTTAAAGCGCAGGCTGATGCTCAAGAGCGTGCTCAGCACTCTCCGCACGAGCCGGAATGGGAACCGGTTTGGGCCCTTCGAGCGGGAGTTCTCGTTCGACGAGGCGCCCTCTTTTTTTAGTTTCAAGATGCGTCGGCCGGCGTCGCTGAGGATTCCTAAGATCCCTTGTGTGGGTGCCCCGGCTGTTGATTTCGATGGCGATGATGGTCGGATGCTTTGTGAGGTTACTGAGACCGGGAAGCGTGAGGTTATAAAGGGAGAGTACGAGGATGAAGATAGTGTGCTTGGCTGCGGCTATTTAGATTTTGAAGGGGAAGAGGAGGAGGGAAAAGAGGAAGGAATCGATTCGAAGGCAGAGGAGTTTATATCGAATTTTTACGAGCAGATGAAGCTGCAGAGGCAAGTCTCGTTGATAAGGTACAATGAGATGCTGCTCAGAGGAATCAGCTAAAAATATCAAGACGGAGATCTCTCTCTCTCTCTCTCTCTCTCTCTTCCTTCTTCTCCTTCTCCGTTTTTTTTTCTTTTGTTGGGTGGGGTAGTACGTTTCCGTTTGAAGTCGTTGACATCTCACGAGATGGTGTAAATATGGGGGAGCTCTATCGTCTCGTCGGGGATCTTTAATCTGATGGAAAATTTTGAATTTCTTTCGAGTATGAGCTAGTTTTGAGGCAACATCTGATGTTGGACAGAGTGACGTTTTATATGATGATTGGTGAGGTATTTGATTTTGGAGTATCCTTCCGTGACAAATTAATCTGGGAGAGTCTTAGGTGCTCCATGAGCGCCAGACCAATAGGAGTAGGTCTCCTAGCATTAAAAAAAAATTATTTAATTTTATATCCTTCACATTTGCATGTGATTTGTGTCATATTGCCTTTTCAAGCTAATTAGTTTTTTTTTTTCATGTCTATTCTTCAGAACAAATCATAATTGTCTGTCTGTTTGAATGTGCGGCTGCATATGCAAATATGTAGGGCTGATTAGCACTTAAATACCTTGAAGTTGTTGAGGTTGTCACTCATGTATCCTTCGTTTTATTTTGTAGCATATATATTCTCTATGTTTAAAAAAAAAGCATGTTATTACCTTGCTCTTCGGCACATATTACAACATTTGCCAAAGATTCTTATGTGACTATATGTGATATAGAACACTGAATGTTTTTAAAGTAGGTTATTTTGCCATAGGATCCTTTACATTCTAGATAGTAGAGGATGCCTATAACTTACCAATAGCCTTCTCTCATTTTATGGACCCCATGTATTATATTAATTAAATAAATTATATAAAAATCCTCTTAATTACCAATCTTATTTAGCTACCTATACAACAATTTAGGGTATAAAGGATATCTTCTCGGATATTTCGGTCTTTTATATGTGATTTCCATGGGACAGGTCAGAAGTAAAGGCATTACTTTTGAGGGTTTTTTGACAAAACTTATTAAGGGTAAAGTGAAAAATTCAAACTTTTTGAGGATTAAGTGGAAATGACCAAAGTTCCTGGGAGGTTTTATCATACTTTACCTAATCACAATTGGGTGAAACGCAATGAAAAGCTCATATCAAATTGAACTTAATTGATAACCCTTTAATTCCGTTAGACTAGGCCGATATTAAAGATTGCTACTAAATCTTAAGATGTTGTAAGGGGGCGTTAGTCAATTGGGACATTTTCATGCAAAATGGGATAATTGTTAAAGTGGAATAATATTTCGCTAGTGGGATATTTTAGTGGGATAACTAGGAACAATTTTGTGAAGCAAGATATTTTGATAAAATAACGTGGGATAAATTTTTATAATCATGAAGTATATATTTATGCATTTTGAAGATATAAATACTATTTATGTATTTTAAACTTACTATTATTAATTGATAATTGCTTACAAGAATGTTCGTTACTATTAAATAACTTTTGGTTAGACTATAAGATATTGACAATTATTATTATGATAATGGTTTAATGATGGTGATAACCATAATAGGAAATAAGTAAAGAAAAAAATAAAAAATAACAAAATAAATACGAGTTCTAGTTTTTTACCACATAGTTCCAAGCTAAAACTTGGAATAATTTGAGAGACTAGAACTCTCATTTTTGTATAGAAAAATAAAAAAAGTGGGATAATTTTGTACAATTATCCTAATTCTAGTTTTGTTAAAGTTCTGCTTGACTAACACTGTAAAATTTTATTCTAGTTTTAGTTCTATGTGACTAACACCTTAAAATTTTGTTCTAGGTTTAGTTCTATGTGACTAACACCTTAAAATTTTATCCCACAGATTATCTTAGTTCTAATTTTAAGTTCTAGGTGACTAACCCAAGAGAATTTTGTGCTATAGCCTGGATACAAATGTCTCCTCCAGTTCATAACATGGAACAGATATATATCTGTGTCAAATCTTTGGATTTGGATCATCTCCACTATTAGAAACTAAACCTTTCCACCACTAAAAAAATAGACGATATTACAACAGTTTCATGGGGATATAGTGATATGTTTATGGTGAATTCAATACAAGAGAAAAGAATTCTCTTCCTTTCAATAGAACAAGAGTTTATTTTGGATTATTGATACTACAGTGTATTGAGCTGAGTGCTCTCATTCAAGATTTGTGCAACTCTTGTTCTGGTTAGTCACTAACCCAAGCATTAATTAGTTTTTTTTTTAATGCTGACTCATCCAAATGAACATTCATATAATTCCCTTTTAGCAAAACTACCTTTTTGTAATCGACATAACAATGCTATATATAAACTCATCAACCTCATTTTATATATGTTTACAAAAACATGACCTAGTTACTCCTAAAGAGGAACCCATACAACTCAGAATCCGATCAAAATCTCTCAAGTTGCCCTGTGGTAAATCTCAATATTCACAACAATGCCGCAGTACAAAACAAACGAACAAAAGAGTCAAAACTCCCTCCCATGCATACTTCAATCATCAATTTATTCCCCTATAAAGCATGTCACTATACTCCAACAATGAAACCTGCCTCTCAAACTTCATCTCTCTGTAAAATCTCGCTATAAACTCCTCTGCCTTCGAATCAATCCCCTCCTCCTCCAATTCCTCGGCCTCTTCGGATTCCTCAGCACTCAAATACTCTCCTTCTTCTGCTTCCTTCTCAATAAAATCCCTTTTCTTGTAGTAAACCCAACCACCATCATTCTCCAACTCATCGACTGCTGGAGTAATGCAGGGGATCTTGGACAGCCGCTTTGATGCGGGCTTGTGTATTTTGAAGGTGAAGAGTGGAGTCTCGTCGAACGAGAACTCTCGCTCGCAGTAGCCAATGCGTTCTGCACGTGCATTGTGTGCACGGATGCCCTTGAAGACAGTGCGCAGGTCGAGCATCACCCCGCGTCTGAATGCTCCGCCCTTTCGAGCCCAGAGAAGCGCTATGCGCAGCAGGCGCCACGCTCGACCAGCCACTGGAGATTTCTTGTTCGCCATTTTAATGTGATTCAACCGAAAATAACCGAGAAATTAAGCTAAAAAGCGTATATATATGGTTGAAGTCAGAGAGAGGAGAGGGTGGTGTTTATATAGGCAGGATTTCGGTACGCGGTTACTTTAATTGAGTAGTTTGATGAGCTGGTTATTGGCGTAAGAAATTGAGTGGGTTTGTTGATGCGCCTGATGAACTAGAGGAATTTTGGGGTCCTTTCGCTGTCCCACACGGTTTATAGCTATTCTAAGGGCTGTTTGATTTGCGGTGAAAAGAAAACACAACAAATGTTGCAGCAGAAAATGTTGCATATAATGTTTGCAGTAGGAAAGCAACTTTAAATTTATTATTTGAATATCTACAATTATATTATAGAAAATGAATTTTCAACACAAATTTTGTGCTTGGTTGAGAAGCAATTAGTGCAAAAGCTACATAATTTTGTCAAATAAAGAAATCTGGGTGTAGATTATTTTCTGTTCGCATTTAAAAAGACTTATTTTGATGGGATGCAATTATTTTAATATTTTTAATATATTTTTTAAGCTTGCAATTTTTCCTCCCACCAAATGGGCGTAGCATTTGTTGTAAGTTTTTTCTATAAAATGCAAGTCCATTTACTTTTCCTAATTATAAAGTTACAAACCAAACAATCTATCTACACCAAATAATTCCAACGCAAATCAGTGTTTGATTGAAAAGCAATGAGTGCAAAAGCTACATAAATTTGCCATACAAGGCAATCTAGGTGTAGATGATTTTCTGTTCGGATTTAAAAAGATTTATTTTGATGAGGTGGACTTATTTTAAGTTTTATTTTTTAATTTTCTAAAACTTGCAGTTTTTTCTCCTATCAAATAGATCGTAGCATTTGTTGCAAGTTTTTTCCTATAAAATGCAAGTGCATTTACTTTTGCTTATTATAAAATTACAAATCAAATAATGTACTTATAAATTTGGTTGCTCTATTTATGTTTGCAACACTCCAAAGCGTTAACTTTTAATTTTGTAGTGAAATGGTTAGACGAAGTCCCCACATTTTATTTAAAAGGTCTTCAAGATTAAATCATTTATATTTTGTATGAAATGATTAATGGCTAAGTATCTAGGTGAAATACCGAAGAAAGCTCGGATCAACAACAAGTCTTTTTTTTTTTTTTTTGATATCCAAGAAGTCATTATTTTAATTAAGTATAAGGAAGTTTCGGTACTTGACTTGACTTCATGGACCAACCGTAGGACAAATAGGGAGTCCATTTATTAATTAACTAAATGAGTTATTGATCTATAAAGAATAACAATAAATAGTGTTTGGTAATTGACTTGACTTCATGGACCGACTGTAGGACAATGAGGAGTCCATTTATTAATTAGTTCTTGATTTAGAATAAATTACAATTATTAATTAGTAAGAAGAAATTTCTACATGAATTCATGAAGACAGAAAAATTTTAAAGATACTCCTCAAGAGATTCATGTTAAGCGAACCCATCAAGAAAAAGCTGTATAATTGTTCGAGAGGTTGAATATCTTGTAGAGATGAAATAAAAGAGAAATTCTAGCGTTTTTTGTTATTGGTTTTTTTGGAAGATCAAGAGTAAGGTTCTTGCGGGGTTCCTGTGGAACAAAAGAATGATGAGCATCTTGTGATCTCTGGTTATAGAGTTGATTTTTTCCCTCTTCTGTGGATGTTGGCGGGGCTGTTTGGTTGGTTTCCTAAAAATCAAGAAAAGGAAAAGAGTATATGGAAATCAATAAAATATTATTTTCATCCATTTCCATTCCTAAAACTCACTACAACATCCAATAAAATATTATTTTTATCCCACAGCTCACTAGTAGAAAAACGACCAACCTAGACGGAAATTTCCGTCTAGGTTGGTCTACAATCCGTCTAGGTTGGATCATCTAGACGGAAATCCGTCTAGGTAGATTGGTTTATTCTGTTACCGTCTAGTTTGGATCAAACTAGACGGATTTCCGTCTAGATTGATCAATCTAGACGGAAACCAACCTAGACGGAAGTTATATTTCCGTCTAGATTGTTAACCTAGACGGAAATCCGTCTACGTTAACAACCTAGACGGGAAACCGTCTAGGTTGTCAACCTAGACGGAAATCCGTCTAGGTTGTCAACCTAGACGGAAAGCCGTCTAGGTTGACCCTAGACGGAATTCCGTCTATAAGGAACCAACCTAGACGGAAGTCCGTCTAGGTTGATTATTACAACCTAGACGGAATTTCCGTCTAGTTTGGTTCATACTAGACGGAATTCCTTCTAGATTGCTCTTTTTCCAGCAAAAAAAAAAATATTACAATTTGTATTTCCCTGTACAATTACACCAATACATGAATACATACAATAAATACTGTATATATGAATACATCCAACCATCCAAATATAATCAAGATTTTAGACAATTCCATTCAAACCCAAAAATATACAAATCCAACATAATGCACAGATCCAGCCATAATATAATCAATTCCAGCATAATAAACAAATCCAACACGCATATAAGTATTGTTATAACATCCAACACGCATATAAGTATTGTTATAACATCCAACACGCATATAAGTATTGTTATAACATCCAACACGCATATAAGTATTGTTATAACATCCAACACGCATATAAGTATTGTTATAACATCCAACACGCATATAAGTATTGTTATAACAGATAAAGCTGTTCATTGCATTAAAAATCCACAAAAAACCTCATAAACCTCATCGGTCGTCGTCGTCGGCAGTATCTCTATCCTGGTTACGAGAACGTGTGCTGCTCCCTCCAATATCTCCACTCTGAATGGTCAATTGAATAATCATTAAGGAGTGTTTAATACATATTAAATATAAATGAATTTATTATTTTAAGGAAAAAAAAGGTACCTGAGTGTTGCTCTGACCAGCACCGGAATTATCGCCAAGCGAGCTTATAATCCGTATAACACCACCATACGCGCTATGAGGAATCGCACCGCTTAAATATTGCATGACATACCCCAGGAGATCATCCATCGAGTTCGCCGTCAGCGCAACTCTTGTCATCTCATTAGTCACCTGGATATGTAGCTCCGAGTCAATCTTGTCAAGCAAATATGCAGAGATACGTGCGACAAATGGCATAGCCTGGAACCGAGGCGGGGCTGCTCTCATGGATGTAAATGCTGTGGAGGATGCTGTGGATGACCTCATGCTTACGCCGGGTGAAGCTCCAACACCATGCAGAGGATATCTCCCTCTCCTATGTTTAGGGAGAAATAAATATTAAATTTACCTCTCGAATTCAATAATGATAAAAAAATATAAATAGGAATGTAGTATTCAAATTGATTCAAATTTTCTACATCCATACCTATTATGACCCATCAAATGCTGTGTGAGAGTAATGTTGTCCTCTGCAGAAAGCATGTGAGGGTCCGGCTCAGATTGTTCCTCCTGCTGCGACATATACACAGTTGCAGCCTCCTTGGATGCAGCCTCAAATCCCTCCTAAAGCACAAATATATAATTAATTCATGGTAAAGACAATGTTATTTGTGTTCTCATTTCCTCATAATATTAACAACAAAATAGAATTAATAATACTACACAAGATATGTATAACTCTCACCACCAACTCGAGATTTGCCTTGATCTTATCTCGATTCTTCTCATCACCCCTATATCTATCACGGAAAATGCCATACGCCGCTTTCGCCCTCAAGTGTATTGGCATTAATGATTTTCCCTGTCATATTATATATTATCACACTCATAATCATACTAATCATTAAATTCATCAAAACTTTAGACGGAAATCTACCGTATCCTGACAATAAACATCCTCCAGATTGGCATAGGAGTGTGAGCCCAAGTGGTGGTCATGCAGCTTCTTTCTTCTATTTTCTGACCCCTTCGTGGATTTATTCTTTTTTAAAAGAAAAAAATTAGCAAATATGCAATAAATTAATATCTTAAAAGTATAAAGTAATTTTCATGAAACTAACCTTGGAGGCATCGCTGTCCCAATACATGAGGAGAGCTGTGAAATGAACCTCGTCAACTCGGGCGTCGAGGTTTAAAAACCTCTGCCAGTCCTCCTCATACCTGTCATAGGTTTCATGTTTGATCTCATGCCTCCATTGTTTGAGAACTACTTCAACCTTAACATTGAACACATAATTCCAAGCCCCCTCAAAGTCCTCAAGGCAGAAGCAGTCCTGTAGATTTACATACACATTTAGGAAAGATAATTTAATATCAAATACTAATTATTAATAAATAAAAAGTAATAGCAATATGTAGTTACCATAAGCGCTGTCCATATCGCCTCGTATGCGCTCCATGGTAGTTCTCGAAATTGAAAATAAGGGTTGATAATGGTCGCTCTACGCACTAGAACCCCAATATATGCATTCAAGCGGGTCGACCATGGACCAACGGGCAAATTAGAACTATTCCACCGAATTATTGCCCTCATTCCTCTTGGCGGTTGTTTGGAATCAGGCTTACCTCCGCCACGTCTGTTCTCGATACGATCCTTCTTAGCACCTACAATAATAACATGATAATATATCATATAATATACAAATGTGAAAATTAAAAGTATTTATACAATTTACCATTCGCTATCTCTCTTTCCTTTGCTGCGAGTGCAACCTTCTTTCGTGTCTCAATCATTTCACGCATTTCTTCTAATTTTCTCGCAGCACGTGTATGGTACTTCCTTGCGTCAGCCATAGACTTATGAGAGGCTGGAGGTAAAGGTAAACTAAGATAGTCCTGTGTCTTTGGCCGCAAGTCCGTGTGGAATGTATAAGATGGATATGTCGGTGTCCAAGTATCCCCTACATAAGAAAGGAGAATCATTAATATAGTTTTTAATTAACCATTATAATTGAGCATTATAATATTGAATACCTGCATCAGGGGATGGTTCTGGTACTGCATCAGAGGGGCCAGGTGATGAATAACCCGCATCTGCAACAAATTAATCACTATTAGCTAGATAATTAATAATTGATAAAATATATTAAAGTATTAATTAATTTTTATACCTGCATCCGGAGATGGTAGTGTATCATCAGCACCACTACCAGGGGTGATACTACGTGATCGATCACCCTCGAGGTCAAAGAGTCTCCTCATCCTCCTCATCTGCAATTTCAATTATTAACATAGTTAAGAAAAAAAATATACATGCTCATGAGATAAGTTATTATGAAATGCATTGTTCTTATTATGATTAGCTAAAAAACTTTAATGCAGTGTAACATATATATTACATACCTACATCCAACGCCACATTCTGTGCGTAAGAGAATTCTTGCCAAACATCATCAGATGAACCAATTGGTTCACTATAATTATATTCACTTTCTTCAATATTTTTTTCATTGTTATTAGGTAGAACAACAGATCTTGGCTCCTTGTACAAAACCACCCAATCAGATATGACATTCGGATCTCTCACGAAGAAGCACTGATCAGCTTGTTCTGCAAAAATGAATTTCTCATCCGTATATACTTCTCGATGGAGATTGACAAGTGTAAATCCATAATGATCCTTTTGCTTTTTTGCAGGACACCACCGAACCTTGAACATCGTGTAAGTACATTGTTTTGGTTTACCAAACCCGTAAATTACTTCAACAATATCTTCTAATTGGCCATAATATAGTATGTCAGCTAGAATTGGGTTCTGATCTCTTGTACTTGAAAAACATTCTTGAGCAAACAAGCCCATGACCCCACTGTTCTGAGTTACCCTCCTATCATCAGTCTCTAGCGTTCGAAATTTATATCCATTGATCAAATGCTCATTATAACGTCTCACTTCATAATAAGGGCGTTGTGCATGTATAATAAAACCTAGACGGAATTTCCGTCTAGGTTGATCTGTCCGTCTAGATTAACAAACTAGACGGAACATTCCGTCTAGTTTGTGTCAACCTAGACGGAACAAACTAGACGGAATTCATTCCGTCTAGTTTGAATCAAACTAGACGGAAAAATGACGGAAATTCCGTCTAGGTTGACCTATCAACCTAGTGAAGAGGGGTTTAATTTGCCCTAGCAACCTAGACGGAATTTCCGTCTAGGTTGATCTGTCCGTCTAGATTAACAAACTAGACGGAACATTCCGTCTAGTTTGTGTCAACCTAGACGGAACAAACTAGACGGAATTCATTCCGTCTAGTTTGAATCAAACTAGACGGAAAAATATTCCGTCTAGGTTGTTCCGTCTAGGTTGCTAGTTTTTCTACTAGTGGCTCATTTCATATCATCTCCTAAAAATAAACCAAACACAAGAAATGAGTCACGTCATCCAACTTATCTCATCTCTATCACATCTCATCTTTAAAAATCACTTACATCATCCAATAATATGATGACAACTCATTCATCTCATTAACATTTTATTTTCACCCATTTCCTCCAAAAAAGCTAGGAAATCGATTTCCTTAAGTATGTGTCACATCATCCAATAAGCTAATGACAACTCATCTCATCTCATCTATTTTCTTATTTTTATGAATGAACCAAACACAAGAAAAGAATCTATTACATGAAATATGTTTCTTATAATTTATTTTCTTATTTTTTAGCCAACCAAACAACCTCAAAACAAATTTTCTTAAAAAATCACCCACATCATCTAATAATAATGTGACAACTCATCTCTCATTCTTTGATTTCCTTCTTTTTTTAGCCAACCTAACAATCTCAAAATAATTTTTCTTAGAAATAGGTTTCCTATTCTTTGATTTCCCTTTTTTTTAGGCAAACAAACAGCCTAACCGTCAAACCATGTTTTATTCTTGTCTTTGCAATTAGTAATTTATTTTCTCGAGATTGACATAAAGTTCTCGCTTGTGTTTGGATTTCTCTCCCAGATGCTACTTTGTATGGTTGAATATAACCATTAATGGGTTTTTTCCGATAGTAATCCCTTACAGCATCCTAATTCCAATTTAGTCCCTCAAATCATTGAAAATGCTATAAGGTCCCTCAAATCTTTCAACTCCTTACACTTTCGTCCCTGTGGTTAAATGATATTGGATTGAAGGGAATATTCTGTTTCAGTTAACATTTTTTTGAATTATTTCCCCGTTATACTCTCATCTAGTTAAGAGCCAAACCCAACCTATTTATGTAAATGTGTATATATATACCCGTACATTAAACGGGTTTAAAGCCATACCCGTTAACTAAAAACCCAATCCAACTCGCTTCATTTTCTCCAATGGTCCCGTTTGGATGGGAGGAAGCATTAGAAGTAAGAAGTAGATCAAAGCAAAATCTTCAAAAATTATGAAGTTAGAAGCAGCAGAAGTACTATCTTTGTTATTTGTTTCACATATTTTCAAAAGTAGCAGAAATTGTGCTTTTATCTCTTCATTTACATTTTTGTTTGGATAGCAAGGGAAACAATTGTTAGGAAGTAGCACAAAATCTATCATCTCAAGTTATCAGGTAAATTTTACGGAACCCAAATATTAAAAAGTTGATAATAGTAATACTAATTAGTAATGTTTCTGACATGCATATAAAGTTATTGTACATAATTAGCATTTAGCATACAAAACATAGCTAAATACCCATATTGGTATTTTAATTCCACCCCATTTACCAAGAAGGTATTTTAATTAGGCAAATCTGTTTTAAGGCATTTTAATTGATTCAACTTACCAATAAGACCATTTTTCTTATCGGTGACCAGTTTTCCGATGAGAGCTCGTCACGTGCGTGACACGTGATGGCTTAAACTGTTTTTTAGCTACTTATATGGCACATATTTTCTGACGTGACAGTGTTTAAAGGCGGGAATTAACCCTCTAAAAATCCTAATTCACCCAAAATAGGATAGAATCGCCTCTTTTATTTTCAGAATTTGAACGTGAGAGAGGGAGAAATAGAGAGTGAGAAATCGTAGAGGAGGCAGTTGAAGGAGATAAATTGCAGGGATTCCATGTGATGGTGTTTTTCAGTTGATGCAGAAGGTGATTTTCGAAGGACGACGACTTGGTATGGGTTGAAGCCGATGCGAAAGGTTTGATTCTCTTTATACTTATGAGATCTTTTGGTGGTTTTGAAGAGGATACGTTAATCACGTATTTAGTTTGAGTTAAATGAAAGATAAACCCAAAATTTGTTGCCTTTTGTTAGATTTGATAGAATTAGAGTTTTCACAATTGGAGTTTTTTTTCCAATAAATAGGGTTGAATTTGGTTGAAATAGAGTGAAATATATATATTTGTTAGTGATTTTTAGGCACATTTATATGCAAATTATATTAGATTCTAAAAAAATGTTTATGCAATTTGATTTAAATTGGCTAGAACTGAGATTGGTACTTTGATTGTTAATTACAAGATTATTACCTTTTTCGTAAATTATGCAGATGGCTATGCAAATTATGATTAAATATAGACATGGGTTTCATTTGACTTCGGAAGTAATGTGGCGTACATTGGTGGTTCATTTGATGTTGAGTTTTGTGATGCACAGTACATTGGTGGTTCATTTGATGTTGAGTTTTGTGATGCACAAGATATTTCATTAGAACAATTGAAGATTAGTGTAAAAGAATATGTGATGCACAAGATATTTCATTAGAACAATTGAAGATTAGTGTAAAAGAATATGGTTATAACAATATCGGGATGTTGTATTATGCTATTCCTAGTGTAGGACTGGCTAGTGGAGGTTTAAAGTCTCTAAATTCAGACCAAGATCTTACAGAAATGATTGAGTATGCATTGAGGGACAGAGTGATAGAAATCTATGCAAATCACAGTGTTGACATACCAGTAGAAGTGCATGTCCCTATTGAAGGTGCTACTTCAATTACTACATCTCCTAAAAGAAATATTCCTATGACTAAGAGAAAGAAGTTAATACCCAAAAAAAGACTAAATGTAAAAGAGGGTCAATGGAGTGTTTCAAACCCTACTATTTCACCACTGCTCATTTCCTCCAAATCACCACTGCCCATTCCCTCCAAATCACCCCCTCACAAAGCTGCACAAACATCTTCTAGTGATGACGATGATGACTCAATGGAGGATGAAAATTTCAGAATTGAACCCACAGAGCCATTGTATGATGATGATGGTGAAGATGATGAATTATTTGATGATGAATTATTTGATGAGTTTAGTGTAAGGAATAGATAAAGAAAGGGAAAGCAAATAATGAAGACTGATAAGAATGTAGATGAAAGTGTTGGAGGGGGAATTTATGTAAGAGTAGGGGTTTCAAATATTGATGATGGTGAAGATGTAAACTCGGCAGAATCTAAAGATAGTGAGACTCATAAGACAGTAGGAAGTGATGATGATGAGTGGTTTGACATAAGGCAAAAAATAAGAAAATTTTAGAGGAGGAGAAGGGTAGAATATCATTTAATGCTGGAGCAAGATTGGTAGATGATTTAGATGGTCCCCCTCCTACAATTGTAGTCCTACTCAGTGTACCACAACTTGAACTATAACCACAATAAGTTAATGAAACCAACACCAGTTCCATCCTTATTTATGATACAGATGCAACCATTAACCAAGCACATAGTGCAGAAGTGCAAATGTCATAGAATCTATTTGTGAGATTGAATGTAGGAGGTCCAAACTGTAGAGGCACAATTCCTAAAGCTTAAAACTAGCCTAGTTTTTGGACAAATTATGAATGAGGCTATTAGAGTGATCAAGAAGCAGTAATGATAAGGGACCATTCTTTGACAGTGATCATGAAGCACCTGAGACCAATATGAAAAAAAGAAAGAAAGAGTGAACTACAAGTATTTCAATGAGAGAGTAGATATGAAAGCTGTGTATTTTGAGCCAGGTATGCACTGGATTTATTATTTTATTGTTTTGTCTTAATTATAAGTATACATTATTGCTCTACTAATCATTTGTGTTTAATTTCATTTTCAGGGTTGAAGTTTACTTCTATGAATGTCTTAAAGGAGGCTATTCTAAATTATTCTATTCAAAGGCACTATGATCTAGTGTACATGAAGAATGAATGTCTTAAAGGAGGCTATTCTAAATTATTCTATTCAAAGGCACTATGATCTAGTGTACATGAAGAATGACAATAAGAGGATTCACCTTGGCTGTTCACTTTGCTTTTGGGAGATGACTGCTGGTCCAGATTGTCATAAGGCTGATGTTTGGCAAATAAAATTTATTAATCATGATCATACTTGCAGCACAACTTTTAAAAATAGATTAATAACTGATAATTGGATTACACATGTTTATCTTGATAAAATTCTAGAAATGTGTTAGGCACATTTATTCTAATTGGAGGAAAACTCATAGTGGGAGGGTCCTTCAAAGTCAATTATGGAAATGTGTTAAAACCACCTCTATACCAATTTTTGCAATTGAAGCTGCCAAGCTAAGGGGAATTTCAAAGCAAGCTTATGAAGACTTCATGGCTAGAGACCCTCACACATTCTGTAAGTCTCATTTCAAATGTCATAGTGTGATTTTGTAGACAACAACATGGCCGAAACATTTAACTCTTTTATATTACTTGCAAGATATAAACCTATAGTGTCCATGTTAGAGGATATTAGATTATCTATAATAGATAGAATATAAGAGAAAAAGAAACTCATAGGGAAATTTGTGGGGGGAGTTGAACCTAGAATTCATAAGAAGTTGAAGGAAGCATATGAGTAGAAAGTTCATTGCCGTGCCCATTGGAATGGCGATGTAAATGAAAATGGTTTTG